AAAAAAAAAAAAGCAGAAATCAACCTGCATTTCAGCAGCTACAGAAGCTCAGCAAAAAGACTTACCCAGCTCCCTGGTGAGAACAGCTTCGTGATGTGACCAGTGAGCCCTAATGGACGGAGAGCTTTTATATAGCGACTAAATGTGCCTTGAAGGTATGAGGTACCCACGACATATCCTATTTGTTCCTATTCAGAAGCTGTCCTGTGTGCAACACTCGTAGTGACTAGACACCGTGTACTCATCCCCAAGGATGAGTAGTTGAATGTCAGCTCCCCATAGTAAGAGTAATTACCTTTTGTATAATCCTTCCCGGCATGGTAAGACTGAATGGTATTTGCAGAGGCAGCAGCAGCGGCATCCCCGGCCTCAGGGGTTTTGCAAGGCAGAAATGCACCCAATAATATGCAGTAATGGCTTTTCAAAGGTCCCACTGGAAGTCAGGCTTCAGAGTCCCTGGAAATGTCCTGGTGGTTCCCTGGAAATTGGGCCATCCCATCACTCAGCCTCTTTCCGCGCTCACATGGCTTCGTGCCGTGAGAGCTACACTGACTGCTCCGTGTCCTACTCGAAGTTTAGTCCCTGGTTAGAGCCGGCAGCGTTTCTCTTCTGCCAGCTGGACACAGGGCACTGCATCCTCTGAGGAAAAACAGGACCTCCCAGTAAAGTTCTAATCACCCCCTTGGGTGGGTGCAGTTCATCATCCATAGAGAACTTCCATTTTAGCTCACACAGTCCCGATGATCCCGTGATCCCAACGCAATCGCTTGTTATCAGAGCGATGGGAATACACCAGTGACTTCCAGATGAGCGGAAAAGATGAGCTACAGTCACGCTTGATTGCAGCCCTTGCACAACCAGCTCAGCTGTCAAAGCTGTGACTGGCAGCACAACAGGACACAAAAAGCACCAGGAGCAGATAAACTTCCTCCGGTCCTGCGGGTGACTTTCTCGGTGAGTCAGCTTCTTATCGCGCACTGGGCCCAGATTAAAGAAACTAGTTAGAAAACCGGGAGTTTAATTTTTTGAAGTCGCAGAAGATCCAATCAGTGTTTTCATGTGTATGTTGTCACATGGAACATCCCCGCAAAGTGACAATTCCTTCCTGCTGACTACAAGGAGAGCTGAGGGGGACCAGCGCAGAAGAGTGCTCAGCCCCACCGACATCTAACACTGGCTGAGATGAAACCCACCCCGAAGGGAATCGGTCCCTGAGTACGTTTATTAAAAATCAGCGGTTTCTTGTGAACTGGAGAGATGGCTCCGCCCAGGTGGTTTTTGAGGCGAAGGAAAAGGTCCATCAATAATTTTGTAATGAAACAATAATAAAGTTTAGGAACTCTTGGACTACTATGCCCGGCACCAGGCAAGAATCACAGAGGGTGAAATGCTCCCGCTACCATAGGCTTCTCCATCAAGAACACACCCTGACCCTTGCTGGTCAGCCCTGAGCGTGTTCATCTTTGCCCGAACCACAAGGATTGTGACTTTGTTGTGGCATCTCTCCTTCATAAATGAGTTCTTTGATCCCAAGCCATAACTCTTCACGGCTTTTTAGCTCCAAAAGCCGTAGGTGTGATCCTCCCTGTCAACCAAAGTGAGCAGTTCACATCTATAGTATTTTTATTCTAGTTTGGATGCAGGCACTGCCCCAAGCTTCAAACAAATCCTTATTTCATTCCGTACTTGACTGAAACCCCATGTGTACCTGCCTAATTTACTGAAAGCCCGGGTGAAGTTTAATTTTTTGATCACAACCGTGACTTGTCTTTCATGTCAAATACCAGTAATGTCTGTAAATCAATGTATCTAAACCCTCTTAATCAGTACACTCCAGAACTACAGAATCAAAGAAAGAAAAAAAAAAATAAAACCAGAAATCCAGTTAGGTTCCATTTTAACTTTGGCAGCACAGCAACTTCGGAGACTTTCACTATGTAAAAATTTAATGAGTGTTTCACCTTCACATGGAAATGCCTGTCAAAAATGCGTGTTTCTGTTGTCATCATCCATGCATATCCTAGTAGTATCCACTTCTCCCCACAAGCCAGCCCTCCCCTGCATTGGTTCTCAGCTAAGAAAACCTCCTTTTTTTTTTTTTTAAACATGTCTGATTCAACCTGGAGAACAGCATGAGATGAAGGTGGGAAAAAAAAAAAAAAAAGTTAAAACAGGGCTGTGGCACTGAGAAGTACCAAGAGGCAAGCTGAAAAACATCCTGGAGAAGATGCCAGGTTAGACATTAGGGAATCCACCACCTTCCCTTTAATAAGTCCGGAATGCAAAGGAGCACCGTCACAGTGCAGCAATTTTGGAGCGTGAGCCAACGCACCAGGAATCCAAAACTCCCTGCCTGCTCCAAATATAGAAATCTGGCAGAATATCCCAGTCAAAAAAAAAAAAAAAGGAGAAAAAAAAAAAAAAAAATATTTCTATAGAAGAAACACATGGCACATGGAAAATACGAAGGTGATTGGTGACAGCCAACTTGGTTTCACTAAGGGCAAATCAAGCCTGACAAATTTTGTGGCTTTCTACAGCGGAGTTAGAGCATTGGTGGGTAAGGGAAGAGAGAGTGATGTCACCTACCTGGGCCTGTGCAAAGCACAACGTGGATTTAGAGCAGCCCTGCAGAGAAGGACTTGGGGCGGGTTGTTGACAAGAAGCTCAACATTTACATTTGCAGCCCAGAAAGCCGCCCCTGGCCTGGGCTGCGTCAAGAGAAGTGTGGGCAGCAGGTCGAGGGGGGAATTCTGAGGGGATTCTCCGCCTCTGCTCCGCTATTGTGAGCTCTTGTCCAGCTCTGGGGCCCCCCCACGTCAGGACACGGACCGGCTCGAGCGGGGCCAGAGGAGGCCACGGAGATGCTGTGGGGGCTGGAGCACCCCCCTGTGAGGACAGGCTGGGAGAGTTGGGGGGTTCAGCTGGAGGAGAGAAGGCTCCGGGGAGACCTTAGAGCGGCCCCCCAGGGCTGAAAGGGGCTGCGGGAAAGATCGAGAGGGACTTTATACAAGGGCATGTAGTCACAGGACAAGGGGTGATGGCATTAAACTGACAGAGGGGAGATTTAGGTTAGATACAAGGAAGAAATTCTTCCCTGGGAGGGTGGTGAGACACTGGCACAGGTTGCCCGGAGAAGTTATTGACGTCCCCTGCCTGGAAGGGTTCAAGGCCAGGTTGGATGAGGATTTGAGCAACCTGGGCTAGTGGAAGGTGGCCCTGCCCGGGGCAGGAGGGGGTGGAATTAGATGATTTTTAAAGTCATTTCCAACCCAAACCATTCTACGGTTCTATGAAACAAGGTAAATTGGCTAGGTGTGATCTGGGATCCTGGTTTGAAACCTCAAGTGATGTAAAAATAGCCTTGCTCCATTAACAGTAATTAAAAAAATGCCAATAAACTAGGCAAGGAGCTGTAAAAGCAGGAGGGATCTGCAGTGGGGAGTTGTTAAGCTTTAAAACTAGTTCACAGGGAAGGACACTACATGTGTTAGACTACACGAGAGAGTCGTCCCTTGAAGAAATAGGTTGGCCTTGGAGAAATACCGGCATGAAGCTGGGACAGCCATTTCCTCCAGTCTGTCCCAGGCAGAGCCATGTCCTCCAGTCTTGCCAAGACATTGACATTTCCTTCAGTCTTGTCAAGAAATGGCCGTTTGCTCCAGCCTCACCATGGCATGGCCGTTTCCTCTGGTCTCTCCAAGGCACGGCCATGTCCTCCAGCCTCACCAAGGGATGGCCATGACCTCCAGCCTCACCAAGGGATGGCCATGTCCTCCAGCCTCACCAAGGTATGGCCATGACATTCAGCCTCACCAAGGGATGGCCATGACCTTCAGCCTCACCAAGGCACAGCCATGACCTTCAGCCTCACCAAGGCAAGGCCATGACCTTCAGCCTCACCAAGGCATGGCCATGTCCTCCAGCCTTACCAAGGCATGGCCATGACCTTCAGCCTCACCAAGGCATGGCCACGACCTTCAGCCTCACCAAGGCATGGCCACCTCCCCCAGTCTCACCAAGGCATGGCCACGTCCTCCAGCCTCGCAAGGCATGACCATTTCCTCCAAGCTGTACAAACCACTAGAGTGCAGCATTCACCCACGCAACCACCTCCTGCAACAGCCTGGCACAACCAGACACCGGTAGCCGGGAAACTGCCTTCAGATGCTCTTTCTCTCCAGGAAAACAGTTTAAACTGGCAGCCCGTGAGCTAGACCCAGCCCAACTCTTTGTGTCATGGACCCCTAATGTCTGAACGCTCCTTGTTGTACCGTGACATGAAGTTAAATCTGCGTCGCCGATAGTCTCTGCAGCCCCACCACAGCCTGTACAAGCCAGAGTGTCTTATTCCAGCTGCTCACACGGACACGTGCTTCTGGGCATCAAGAACACGCACTGAAACGGTAGCGGGGCCGCACGTGAGTTCTTCACAGGAGAGTGAGTCTGCTCAGTCGAGCGCTGCAGGGCAGTGAGGTGCGCGCAGGGAGGGGAAGGCGGAGAATAAAGGAAACCCGAGAGAATAAGCAGAGGTCGCACTTTTATTGTATCAGACTTGTAATTAGAAAGCAGCATACAGGCTGTAGATAATAAAACTTAACATATTATTAGCCCAGCAAGCGCTAAACTCGCAGTCTCACTATTTCAGTGATTTAATAGCACTGAAGGCAAAACACTAACCCCTCACGCATTCGAATGAAACGCTCCTCACTTGGACTCCTTCTTGCTTCATTTAAAAAGCGTTTTATTACTTAATGAACTCTTGCTGTTCTGCAATTACTGGCCCCACACACCTCTTTGTTCTGGTTGCTAGCAGGCTCAGCGGAGGTTAGACTCTGTAGAAAACCTGACTATATGATCATAACAGCCCCGGTGACTTTTAAAACACTGAAGCTGAGCTGCGGAGTTTCAACGCAACTTTCTCTCTCCCCAGAACCCATATCCATAGCTCCATCCATTCGCTGGGCTTCTGATGGGAGAGAAACCTCGGTGCTGAGGTTTGAACTCGCAGCTTGATCACAGCCAACAGCCGTCCCCTCTGCAGCAGCCACAGACGTTAAATCAAAGGCACAAAGCCCCCAGCAGCACAGCTCCGGAGACCGCCAGCACCTCTGCTCTGAATAGGGAAGCAGCATGAGGCCACCGAGGCACCCAGCTCCAGAAGACGAAGCCATCAGATCTATGTAGCAACGAGAACGTGAAATTCCCGCGGCGGGTTTTTGTTCCTCTGCCGTCACTTTCCATATACAGCAGCGACTTTGGCCCGGGAGGCCGTTGTCTTGGCTTCTGGTTTTGCTGTTCCTCCAAGTGCGGCGCGAA